CTTTCTCTTCCTGAACCTGAGAGCCTCTCTCCGCTCTCAGCATGACGATCCCTCTCTGTTTGAAAACCGCTATTTCTACTCTTAGTTCGATAGCCTTTGAAAAGGGGAACCATCGACAGAGCCCCTCTTCGTTGTCCTCTCATTCAAGAGAGCCAAAATGATCCTTCTCCCTCTGAGAACTCCCCTCTCCCCCTTGGGAACAATGCTTCTCTTATTTATAAAGTGGGGGAGAAGCATAACACCCGACCGAGATGCCAAATCAAGGGATGGGGTTCTAATGCCGAAGGTGAAGGAAAGGTAATGGTAAATTGACATGGGGTTTTTTAGGGAGTTTAAGAAGGGGTCTAATTGTAAGAATTGGTTTTCTCTATGGGTCTTTTATGGATTCTTAGGGTGTGAGGGAGGAGAGATTAGGTTAAAGAAGGGGTATTTTGGGAATTTCGGTCAAAGGGTATTTTGGGACATTAATTTGAGGGTATTCTAGGAATTTGGGAGAAAGGGGCATTTTGGTAAATTGGAATGGTATAAAGGTAATGTGGAAGGAGGGGTACTTTGATAATTTGGTATGAAAGGAGTATTTCGGTAATTTTGATAAAAGGGGTATTTTGGAAATTTAGGGAGAAGGTATTTGGAATAAGGGTATTTTGGGTAGAGGGGTATTTTGGTAATTTGGCATGAGGGGGCATTTTAGGAATTTGAGGGGTATTTTGAAAGTTTTGAAGGAGTATTTTGGTAATTTGGTTAAGAGGTATTTTGGAGATATGGAATAAAGGTTATATTAGGTAATTGGGTAGAAGGGTATTTTGGTAATTTGACATGAGGGGGTATTTTAGGAATTTGAGGGGTATTTCAAAAGTTTTGAAGGAGGGATATTTTGGGGATTTGGAATAAGAGTTATTTTGGGTAATTTGTGTAAAGGGGTATTTTGGTAATTTCACATAATAGGGCATTTTAGGAATTTGAGGGGTATTTTGAAAGTTTTAAAGGAGGGGTGTTTTGGTAATTTGGTTAAGGGGTATTTTGGGGATTTGGAATAAGGGTTATTTTACGTAATTTATGTAAAGGGGTATTTTGGTAATTTGACATATAGAAGGGGTATTTTAGGAATTTGAGGGGTAGTCTAGAAGTAAATTTGTAATTTTGGGAAAGTTTGGTCAAACCTAGTCTAAAGGTGGTCGAATCGGGATTCTAGATGGATGGTTGGGATTTTGGGTCAAAATGAATGGTCGAGATGGGTTTGATAATTGAGAAGAGTTTTATGTGTAAGAACCAATGAGATTAGTTGAAATAGAATCTTTCTAGATGTATGAGTAATTGTGGGTATTTTTTACTGAGGATGAGGTGTTTTGGTGTGTTTGGGGGGTTTAATGATGATGTTTGATTGGTTTAAAGGGGTTGAGATCATAAAAATTTGGGTTAACGAGGAGATCTAGAATGAAATCTTGGTTTGATGGAGGGGCAAACAAAGGCAGTTTTGGGTGAAATTTCAATGTAAGGTTTTTGGACAGTCTAAGGTGATTGGCAGGGTTTAATAGGCCCAACTGGGCCTAGGTTGGGGCTGATTTAGAAAGATAGTGGTTCGATCGATCTAGGGCTTTAAAATGGAATCTTGGTGCGATAAAGGGGCAAATAAAGGTGTTTTGGGCTGAAATTTTATAGGTGGGTATTTGGAGATGTTCGGGATCTGACGATGATGTCTAAAATGGGAATTGAGGTGCAGGTGGGTGTTGATCCGGACTATCGAATTGGTATCGAGTAAATTTAACAATGGATTTAAGGGCTTTAGGGCTAAAAGTCGGGATTTTAGGGTATTTTGGAGAGGTTATATGGATTTGATTGGGTGTTTGGGGTAAATTGAAGGTTCTGGCGACAGACCGAGCAAAAATCGGGTGCTGACAGCCATGCATAGGCTCGCATCATTGGCCTTGTGAAGATGCATCAAGGCTTGGAAGTTGTTAAGGTGGTCAACCAATTCGGTTGTTCCATTGTAGAACTCCAAGCTGGGGGCCTTAAAATCCTTAGGCCATGGGGCCATGAGGTTCTCAGCAACCAATGGTAAAGTGCATGTCACTGATTGTGCTGACGAGGTAACGATCTAGCTCGCCTCTTTCTTTTCCTCTTCCTTCTTTGCCTCCTCATTATCATTTGGGGTAAGGCAGTCCTCCCTACGTTGCGGTGTGTACGTCTACGACACCTTCTCCTAAACCCCTCAATGGAGCTAGTAGCCTTAGACGTCGCGACTCGACTTGATTCCATAGTAGAACCTAGCTCAGATCGTTGTGATAGCGAGGTGGATCCGGTACCTGGTTTTGGTTCTGGTCACCGGGCTATTGGTTCTGGTTCACGTTTTAACTAGCAACTTGGTGTTGTTGGTGATGTTGATGTTGATGCTGTTGTTGTTGTTGTCGTTGTTGCATCTCAGCCATTGCTGCGAAATGACTCTTCCATGTTCTCATTTGTAGGTCTATCCTACGAATGAACTACACTAGCTAATAGAACTGGCGGCCATGAATTCCAACAGGAACTGGGGAGGGATCGACCACTAGAAGAGGCACATTTACAATGGGTAAAGGAAGGTTTAGATTATGCACGGTGGGGACACCTAGTAGGGTCAGGAGAATTGTGAACTGCCCAATCATGACAATTTGAATCTCCTAGTTTTGTGCAGGCTGGTCCTGACCCCCTATGATAGTGCCGTCAATGTGTATGTTGTTGTTGTAGGCGTTGTTGATGGGGTTGTTACTTCTGGATGCCATTAGGTTAAGATTTTAGTAGACATGTGAGAACTCGGCTTTTGTGTAACGTGTTTCCCACAAACAGTGCTAATTAATGTTGCACAATTTGGTGCTCCCTACTGGCAAATAGCTTGGATGTCGGACTAAGTAAGTCGCTTGGTCGAGTTGCAAGAGAGAAGTGATAAGAGTGTCTAGGTTCCTTTACCCGAGGTGGTCACTTTGATGCTTAAGTTAGCAAACTGATGTTTGATAGCAAGAAAGCTAGAGAGCTAAGCCATGACCTCCATGAAGTGCATTTGAGATCTCCAACCCGTCTAGTTCGGAGGTGGTTCCATGCTTGGAGACGAACTCCACATAAGCGGGTAGTGCCTATCTAGTTGCGCACGAAGCGGGCGGGGTGATAACTAGCTAGCTCTTTCGACGTGGCATTGTGATCCCGGGGAAATCAGAGGTGACAACTCACTCGAAGAGGAGCCCGCCTGTCGTATCACGCAAGCCACTGAGTGATTACTAGGTCGGTGGAGGCAGATCACTTGTTATGCCGACCTGGCGTAGTCTGATCTATCTACAGGTCGTCCTGCGGAGGTAAGGCTGAGGAGTCCACAATAGGGGTGAGGTGCTTGTTGTACTTCTGAAGTCTGCTTGCGTTGTGCTGAGTTGTCATCTGGCGGTTTTGTGGAGCCATGTGTCACGATGTCACTAGAGGGCCAAATCCGCCCTCATCAAGTATGTTCGAGCTTAGTTCGAATCGAGCTCAACTATGAGCCAAGTTTTTTGTAAAAAATAAAATTTATACATATAAAAATTAAAAATATTATACTATAATAAAAATTACGTATATGTATGTATGTATGTATGTATGTATGTATGTATGTATGTATGTATGTATGTATTAAGCTCAATAAGCTCGTGAGCCTCATGACTTGAGCTTCATTAGGCTCAAAGCTTGGCTGGATTAGCAAACAAGCCTATATATTGGGCTCGAGCTCGACTCAAAGCTTGGTCTAAACTAAGCCAAATTAAGCTTTTCATGAGCCAAGCTTTAATAGCTCGTGAAAAGCTCTATTCATTTCCACCCTATCCACAACCTTATTTGCTAACTTGAAAACATGTCTTATCTCCTCTTGCAAGGTGATTAATAGTCTTCTTCAATTTGTATAGATATTTAGGCTAAGTTTGCGTCTTGGTAAATGATTTACCAAGGTAAATGTATTTATCTGGACATTTGTTTCTTGGGAAAAACTTACTTGGTTAATAGCACTTATTAGTGTTCTTTTATTCCCCAGGTAAAGGTATAGAATGACTAATTTATCCAAAAAGTAACATAATTAAAGAGACAATATTGGCTCATGGTGTTCATGGGTAAGTAATTTACTCAAGTATGAGGAGAGTATTATTTTTTTAGGTAAATGAATCGTTCTATCCCATAGATCCATTAATATTAGGAAACAAACATGGATTTATTTATTTTGTGTGGGACCTGCCAACTTACTTAACCCTACTTTTCGAGAAACAAAAGAGACCTAAGTACCTACAATTCTACAATGAAAGATGCAATGTAAACCTTGATAGCTCTGAAAAGTTAAGCTTTTTACAAAGAGAACAAACAAAAGAAAGGGAAAGAACTCTGCAATCCTCTGATTCTATGGCCTCGTTTGCTTTTCACTTACTTACCTGGGTAAGTGTTTCCTAGGTAAGTGCATTTATACAAAAATCCATTATTAAAAGGGTGTTGTTGTCCCGTCCAATTGTTGGCAACTTTCCCCTATGTGGGAAAGTTATTTGCCCACCTGGGAAATGGGTATCACTTACGGTAAATAATTAGTGGTACCTAGGAAAATAAACTTTTCATGGTCTCCACATAAATCTGAAAAATAAAACATAGATTTCCGGATCGATGGGATTCACTTGACCAACTTTTCTCGCTCTTAAAATCTAAAACCCCTATGAGACAAATCTGCATGAAATAGTAGAAAACCACAAAAAACAGTAAAAACTTTGACTATTGGGGGCATTTTTGAAAATATCACATTACCATGAAAATGAGTAAATTACTAATTGCCTCCTAAATTATTTTGACCAGAAACAAAGACATGGGCGTGAATAGGTGAACTGCCCAATCCAAAAAACGCTCTCAACAGTATAGACCAACAGCCAAAGTTATCTCAAATGAACAGGGATTTCTAGTTCCTTCTTTTCTATGTATGAAAATCCAAGTGCAAGAAAGGCATCTTCATCTGAGTGGATGAATAGGGGTTTCTCAGATTGTTCATTTCTATGGAAATCCAGAAGACCAGATATGAACGAAGGCGTCTTTCATTTGAGTGGCTGAACAGGGTTTTTTCGTTTTGACTTGTCTCAAATTACGTGGATTCGAACGAAAAATCCCTTCGACTCCAAACGCACCGGATTTGGAGTGATTCGCACCGGATCAGAGTGTGTCCCAAATTCAAAAGCCAAAATTTGTGTACGCAAAGCAAAAAATGCCTTCGAGTCCAAAGAGGACCAGAGAGCAAAGAGCCAAAGAGGGGACACAAGGGGCAATCCGGATCCTCTGCGTTTGGACTCGAAGGCATTTTTGCTTCGCGTACACTAATTTTGGCTTTTGGGTTTGAGACACACTCCGGATCCGGTGCATTTGGACTCGAATCACTCCAAATCCGGTGCGTTTGGAGTCGAAGGGATTTTCTGTAACCGCCTCGCGCTTGTTTCGTCCTCTTGGACATGCCATTCTCAAGCCACCTTATTCTGAAGAAATATTCTCTTCATTTCTCTGTTCTTCACACCCGTCTGAAGTGCTATTCCCCAGCTAAAGCTTCAACACAGCATGAGGAGCAGAAAAAAGGAGAGTTTTATTAAAATGAGGATAGCCATGTTGGATCTCATCTGTTTTCCTTCGCATTAAATTAAGACTGATCGCAGAAAAGAAAGGTCTTTTCGGTTGCAGGGAATCGAGGAGAAACAATGGAGTGGACAACGGTCCAGCATCTGGATCTTCGCCGCGTCGGTCGAGGCCTCAAGCCCTTGCAGCCTCACGCGGCAGCATTTCATTCCACTCAGGCGCTCGTAGCTGCCGCCATCGGAAACTACATAATTGGTATGCCACTTCTGCTTCTGCTTCCAATGCATTGTTCTTTTCTTTTCTATTGTTATTTTTTGAATGGTATGTCACGCTTCCCGAAATGGAGAAATTTACATTGCGAGAATAAATTTGTTGTCTGACCTTATCATGTCATGGTATCCCAAACTTGAGATCGGATCATCTCATCCGTCAATATTTCGATTGCTACAACTCTCCCAAAATCGATCAAATAATTTTGAAATTACAGAGTTCGAAAGTTGTTCCTAAAAGAGATCTTGTTAATGATAGAGGGTGGATTTAAGATATCACCAATCTATTGAAAAGTACTTGAGATAGTCCAACCATGAATAAGGGAAGGACGACAAATCCAATTTCATTAGGTTGTTGGTGGTGGCAATGGTAAGCGGCATACTCTATAATAATTATGCTACAGCAACTTATTGCAATTAATACAAAATAGGATAAACATAACCCAATTTTCATGTGTTGTGGTGGCAATGCTTAGTGGAATTAATGTGGCTTGAACAAACTTCCAAACTATCGTATCTCATAAATGAGTCAGGATTCTTGTATTCTCACTGATACTGAACTAAAGGAACATAGAAAAAGATGATAGAGTCACATGACTATCATAAGAGAAATCTTGTTTCAAGAATTCCAAGAATTTGCAGAAAATTCAAGATGCAGATTACATGAGGTGCTTACAACCCTGAAAGACAACTCCAATTCTTATTGATTAGGAAAGAAATCCAGGCGTTCTAAAAAGGATAATCTCAGAAAGATTGCATAAAGAAAGAGGAAATAAAAATGGGCATAGATTTGCTCTTTGGGGCAACCAGTTATGAATTTTGTTTACAAAATATCTGTGTGCCATTTGATTTTGGCACTCCAAAATGTCACATAATATGGCTAAAAAATACTATGGCATTGTACAAGGGCTGCAATTTAATGGGGATTGTGAGGGAGAGAAATGTGAGAACCTTTGAAGGCAAAAAGCTTGGAGTTGGTTTGCTAAAGGACTGTCTAATAGAAAGAACAGTGATTGAGAATGTGTGCCTTAGGCATTTGTCTAGGTGCATGGATGAGGTACATTTCAAGGCTTGTGCTTCGCTGTTACGCTCCTGGACTGGTGTAACAGTGTTTGGTTGCTCACTGGTGGAATAACAGAGGGGAAGGGGAGTTTGGCAACAATAGAACCCCCTCTTCCATTTATTTATTAAGAGCTTTATATGACCAGCCTAACAGATTTTCCTGCCAATACAAGAATATGTAGTATAGCAACTAACTGACTCAAATCACTCTGCTAGCAAACTTATACAAGACGCTGATATTCTGACCTAGTGTCGTTACATTCCCCTCCCCTCAAAAGGACCCTTGCCCTCAAGGGTCAAAAGAAGGAAAATGGGACTGAATAAAGGACCAGTCTTCCAAGGTGACTGGAACATTATTTCATTTAACCAAACACCTCTTCAATAAAACAACAGGTTCCACCTTGAAATTTCCCTCAGGATCAACCAATGGCAGGGTAGAAGAGGGAACAATGTGAACACCAATCTTGTTCTTAAGTAGTGAGGCATGAAATATAGGGTGTACTTGAGCCTGGGAAGGTAAATCCAGCTTGTTAAGCAACTGAGCCAAATTGTTGGAGTACTTTGAAAGGCCCATAGTACATTGCGGTAAGCTTGAAAATCTTTCTTAAGGCAAAATAGCTTGTTTGAAGCTGCAACTTCAGATAGATCCAATCCCCAACCTCAAAGCTTCATTCTGACCTTCTTTCATTAGCTAATTGTTTCATTGGATTTTGAGCTTTGGCCAAACTTTCCTTGAGGATTTGAACCATCTTCTGTCATTGCAAGACTAAGACCTTTGCAACTGGTACAATACTACAATAGTCACCAAGTAAGGTTCCAGTGACAGTTATAGAGGAGGGTAGCCAAATAAGGCTTGGAAGGGAGGCATGCCAAAAGCACAATGGAAGTTAGAGTTGTACCACCACTGTGCTAATGGCACCTATTTAGTATCAAGGTCTTTTGCTTCTGGCCACACATACATCTTAAGTACATTTCCAAGCATCCGTTAAGCCTTTCAGTCTGCCCATCCGTTTGGGGATGATAGGCAGAACTCATCCTGAGTTGAACTCCCATGAGTTTGAATAATTCTTGTGAAAAAGTACTGATGAAGACTTTGTCTCTATCAGAAACAATGCTGCTTAGAACGCCATGCAACTTACAGATGCTATCAATGAATAACAAGGCCACGGAGTGGGTGGTATATGGGTAAGACAAAGGGAGAAAGTGGCCAAATTTGGTAAATCGATCAACAACAACCAAAATAGTATCTTTACCCTTTGACTTGGGAAGACCCTCAATGAGATCCATAGCTATATCAATCTAAGCTTGCTGGGGAATATACAAGGGTTGTAATAGTCCTGGGTAGGGGAATTCTCTGATTTAAATCATTGACAAATATCACAGGCTGAAACATACTCTTTGAAGTCCCTCTTCGTTCCAGGCCAGTAAAAGAGTGACTTGGCTCTCTGGTAGCTTTCATTAATGCCAGAATGACACAGCTGAAGCATGTAGTCTTTATAATTTGATTCTTGATAGTTCCTTGCTGTCCCACGTAAAGCTTACCCTTGCACCTCAGTACACCTTGGATGTAAGTCAGGCTTGGCTTGGGGATCAATAATCAATGCAGATATTAGTTCTTGAGCTTGCTCATCATCTTCCTAAGAGTCAATGAGCTTGGAAAGACAATGAGGTAGGAGGGTGGAAATGCTACAATAACCACTTGTCTCTTCCTCTAGCCTTCGTGATAGAGCATTGACAACTACATTTTCTGATCCTTTCTTATAGATGATTTCATAATCTAACTCCAATAGCTTTATTAACCACTTCTGTTGCAGGGGCTGTAGTGACCTTCTGCTCCAAAAGGTATTTTAAACTTTGGTGATCTGTCTTAATGACAAAATGATTTCCATATAAGTAATGCCTCCACTTGGTGAATGGTGACAATTATAACTAGAGCCAATTTTTTTTTTCATAAGTGGACAATCTAAGATGTCTCTTGCTCAGGGTCTTTCTTAGGTAAGCAACTGGGCTTCCATCCTGCATAAGGACTGCTACAATGCCATTGTAACTAGCATTAGTTTCTTGCACAAATGGCTTGGTAAAGTCAGGTCAAGGGCCTGCTGGTTTCTGCATAGTGTCATTATTCCTGTAGAGATGATAGGCCGAATGAGCCATAGGACATTATTGTTTTATTTATTTCTGTCCATCTTTTATTTCTTAGTTAGTGGGCTTGTTTTATTTCTTTTATTAGTGTTTTAGTGCTGGCTGCCCTACTAAGGGTATACTTGTAATTGTTACTCTTTTACAATGAAAGATATAAAAGATAATTGTGGGGGCTGGAGAGAAGTTCGACTTTTCTCTCTTCCCTCTTCCCTTTTTTCCACCTTCTTCCTCTATTGTTTTTCTCTCTCTCTCTCTCTCTCTCCCATCTTTTCAATTTTCTTCTTTTCTTCTATTTTCTATTTTATTTCAGATTATTGCAGATGGAATCTACAACTTGGTATTAGAGCGGTGGTCCTACCTTCTTCCTTTTTCTTCTCTTTAATCCCATACATAGGTTGTATCTAGAGTTGATTGGTTAATTGATTAGCAAGTATTCAGCCCAGTTAGAGGAGGTTTTTGGAGAAGAGTGTAGTGCTTGTTTGGTGCCCAAGGCAGGTTCTTGGAGTGTTTCCCGAAAAACCTAGCTAACTGGAGAGTTTTTAGACTAAGGGGTATATAGGGAGTGTGAAAGTGACACTTGGGGCTAGAATAGAAGCATTCTGATTATCTATGAGATCAATCTAAGTTGGAAGATTTTTGGAGCCTTTGGTAGGAGCGGCTAGACTTTCTCCCTTTCTTCCATTTTGCTAGGTCTAGTGAAATCCCTGTTTTGGCCATTTGAAGAGCAATTTTGTCCTTAGGGAAGTAAATCTTGACTAGTAACACCATATTTTGATTTTTGTTTGTCTCCGTTTGATCAATGGAGCAAATTGGAGGTGAGATGAAACACTCCATAGATTTCTGGTTTGGCCTAGAAGGGTCTATGGAGACTCTGTTGAGCACAGTAACCTCTGTGAAGTGGGATGGAACCAATTTTTTGGCATGGTATTAGTTTATAAAGATTCATGTATGTAGCAATGTTTTAAAATGTGGAGGCGTGACACGAGGCATTCCACTACCTAGAGGCATGCGGCGTAGTTTAGAACGTAAGAGGCGTAAGCCTCCTTAAGAGAAGGGGGGTTAAGAGGAAGAAGGGAGAGGAAGGGGAGGAGGAAGAAGAGGAAGGGGGGATCTCATTTTTCTTTTTTTTTTTATAATAAAAATCTTTTATATTAAGAAGAATAAAAATGCATAACACTAGTTAAAAGGGGGGGGGGGTCTTGTCGAAGCGGAGGTGGCTCCCCCAGCCAAAGCAGAGCAAGACCCCCCTAACACACACACACACACAAAAAAAATGGGCAGCATTGAAAAGGGGGGTGGGGTGTGAAGCCTCCCCAGCCGAAGGGGCTAGGGGCAGACCACTTTTTTTTCCCTTATATTTTCTTCCTTTCCCTTCCCTTTTCTCTCTCTTTTTTTTCCTTTTCTTTCTTTCTTTTTCTTTCCCTTTCCTTTCTTTTATTTTCCTTTCCTTTCCTTATTTTCTCTTTTCTTTTTTTTCCTGTCTTTTTATATGAGGTGTGCATAAGGCACATGAGGCGTATGCCTCTAGCACGCCTCATGAAAAAAGCACATGAGGCGTACGCCTTAGAGGTGTCAGCGCCTCTAGCATACGCTTCAGGGCGTTTTGTAAGCGCCTCACCTCCAAGCATACGCCTCCCACACTTTTTAAAACACTGGTATGTAGTAGAGGGGAATTGGGGTAAATCACTATGGCCAAGAAGAAACTTGCGGAGGATGATGCTACCTATGAGAGGTGGATGCAGAAGAACTACACAACAGTAGGTTGGTTAGTGAATTCCATGC